TCATAAAGGATGGGAGAAAACTAAGCGTGCCACCCTTATCTTTCATATACTGGTATATAGTGTCTTTTTGGATTTGCATTTTGGCATTCAGGTTTTCTAAACATACTTTCTCTCACAACCAAGTCTGGTTTTTCATTTTGAATAAGTATGAGATGCTGGACTATTTCTTAGCACCGATCAGGTGTGAGCAGCATCTGCTCTGACAACCAGCAAAATTGCAATTGTCACTGGAATTCCTCCACCTTAATGACATCATATTTCTTGCTCATGGCAGGGGGGGCTAGAACTAGGTGATCTTTAATGTCCCTTCCAACCCAAACCCTTCTATGATTCTATAATTCAATATTGTGTGTCTGTCAGAAGGCTCAGGCAGAGTATTTCCACCACCAGTGGCTCCTTCTGAACGGCTTCAAAATATTCTCCCATATTCTGTGTGTCTTAAGTATGAACAGTATAAAGACAAGGCATATATATTTAATTTTGCCCTACTGGTTGTGAATGCAAAAATAACAGCTTGATTTGAAAGGGGACCCTTTAAAAACTCTTTCAAGACTAAAGTGTTCATACAAATCACTGTGTTAATTATATATCCTAAAAATTATGCAAATAATCTTTAGTGGTGAATTAATCAATGTTAATCACTTGAAAAATAGCTTTTAAGTGTTTTTTCTTTTATAAAAATCTGTCAAAGTATTTAAAATTCTCATGGTGAGCTTACATTTCAATAGTTCTGTTTTATTTCTTTTTAATAGTGACAGATGGATACTCCCAATGTTATTTTGGTGTTGAGCAACAGACACAGTAGGTGGTCACAGGTGTAAACTTCTTACACTGGGTTCCAGATTCTTGCAAAGGTTTGTAAAATAATTGTTTAGATTTCACATCTTAATGTTTTACTTTAGAAACCTATGGCACAACAAAAGTCTCCCTAATGGTGATGTAAAATGTACATCAACTAGGTGAAACACATTCAGGTTAGGCACTTGACCTCTTCTTTAGAATTGTGGACATAAATTTTTGTCTAATCTGAAAATGTAGTAGAAAACAGTTGTCAAGCCCAGGGCATGGAAACGCATTTGGATAACTTTTTGTTCATAAATTATTTGGCATGCCTATATCTACTTACTGTGTCAAAGGTGTGTTTATTTCAAATACCTCCTCTGACGAAGGTTAGCAAAAATTTAGAAAGTGAGATGCCTGGCTCTTGATCCTCACTGGGCCTCCCTCCAGCTCTGCTGTAGCAGTAGACCCTGTACTTTGAAACACTCCTAGACTCAGGAACCACAACATGGCTACTGTTCAAGCTGGGGCTACATATATTTCTGCATCTTGGCCCATGCTTGAACTCCTGAGTCCTGAAATTTTCCAGTGTTTTGACCTGGGATTTACACAACCACAATCACACATCTAGGCAGCCATTACAGCCTCTCCCAGAACACATCCAGAAAGTGATGGCAGAAAGTTTCAGGCATTCTCTCAGCTCAGATTTTAACAGCAGCTGTTCTGACTAAATTTTTCTGACTATGTTTACATAGATTTGGAGCAATGTAAAAGTTCTTACCCCATGGTAACACATGGCTTATGCATTGGTTACACACAGCACATCAGGATCTAGCCAAGACCGAAACGAAAATTATTAGTGTAGTATAACTGTAAAAATTGAATCCGTAGGAATTCTCTAGAAATTTATTTGACGTGTGTGTGTGGAATGTATTTTCTACACTGAAGTTCATTTTCTTCCTATTAGGGACTGTGATGAGGCAAGTTGCTGCCACTGTATGAGGCTACTAGCTAACACTCTATTGATGATTTTGCATAATATATCTGTAATGGTCCAAGGAAGTGCAAAACAAGTTACATACAAAGTTTACAAAATCAAACTGAAAACTGAGAGCCAATGTCTCGATACTCTTAAGTTATGGACACAAATTTTCCACTCCATAAAGTGTACTATAAAATAATTTTAGAAGAAATAAAAGAGGACAGCAAGTTTTGCAGAGAAGTGTGACAGATACTACATGTTCATTTACATTGAGAATACCAAATAATAAAGAACTAGATCTTTAAAACTTCTGGCTACTCTTTATTCATTCACTCATTCATTCATTCATTCATAATTCATTCATCTGCACATTCCTTCCATGACCTGATCCATGACCTGACTCAAATTATCTGATATGTTGTGCATTCAAAGAAAGACAATTAGTGAAGTGACTGTAAAACTGAATAGCTCAATAAAATTATTGTCTTTCAGTATAATCATAACATATACATGCTTTCAGTTAAATACTTAAGTTTACAATTACTGGTTGCATATGCAATGCAAGTATGCAAGCAATACAAGTGCATAGCTCACATTCTGTTTTTGAAATTTCCCCCAGTTCTCACTTGCTTTACCTGAGACCTTTGATATTCTGAAAATTGGGTTTTAATTGATAGAGTTGGGTGAGGAAGAGATCCTATGGTGCTAGGACCTCTACTGTAATCCATGAGCAAAAGGTGATAAAAACTTTTTTCTTGCATGCTATAGCAGGAAAGGAACTTCTTTCCTTGAAACGTTCTTGTATCTCACTTGTGACTTCTGCCTGATGAACCACTGAGATAGATAGCTACACCTTTAAAAGGGTGCACAGTTTGCTCTGCTGCTGCTGTTCCATCTGGAAGCAGCATAATGCAGAATTGTGTCCTTCGTGAACTCCTTCAAACAGAATCAAACAGTTATCAGAAATAGCTTCCATAACAGGATGTTCTTCATCTGGCATCAAACTTATATCATGGGAGATACCTAGGCTGTGGCATAGATAAGGGAAATAAAATTTGCTTTTCATACTTTTTAATGCCCTTTCATTTCCCCTCCAACCCCAGTGATGGCTCATTGCTAGTCTGCAAGTGAACACTGGTTTATGCATACCTGAACATATATACATCATCAGTGCGCAGGAGGGATTTATTAGCATAAACTGTGAGAACTTTTTTTAGGAGTTTGTATTCAGTTCAGTTCACTGAGTTACTGCCTTAGATAATATTGTTCTTCAGCACTCAGCCAAAAAAAATTTGTTTTCTTGAAAGACTGACTTACCTATGCCACAGTCGCTGGTGGTTAAAATAAATAGTTTATTAGAAATCTCTCTAAAATATTTTTTATCTTCTCATATGAGATTCTGCTCAGGAAGGAGACTCCATACCTTTGATTCATCCCTCATCAAAAGGAACAATGTGAAGGAGTCTGTAGGTTGGGCCTTACATCTGAAACTGAAGGAGAGCTGGTAACCTCACAGAATCCTCTGCACTCAGGACTCAGTAATACTGATAAATGCTAGTGATAAAATCCAAACCACACCACAATGACTGACACAGGCGTTATTTTTGCAGACAAGAGTCTTATGGTACATGACGCATTAGTCATGTCTTTTAAATAATTCAAGAGAATATTAATATCCTCCAACTGCCTTGTACTTAAGAGTGACAGGTGTGTTTAAATTAACCTCTCAAAAAACACCCAGACTATTCAAGACATGAGTTTACTTCAGGATCACCAAGTTTAAATGCCTGATCATTCACTCCTTTTAACTCAGTGAAAGTGTTGATAGACCTTGCATGGCCAGAAAAGCAAAAAGAGCTTTTGTTCTCTTACTAATATATATTGATGGCAGTCTTTTAGCAGGAAAAGAGCAGGAGCAAGTTTATTTCCCAGCTCACTTGTGTTAGTGTTGAGTGGAAGAACTGGTAAAATCACACTGAGTGGTTTAAAAATGCCATTAGGATTTAGTCTGCCCGTAGTGTTTGCTGGTCACTGTCAGGGCACTACTGTGACAAATGAAGGGTTGTTTTTTTTAACTAAGAAAATAAATGTACTGATGGAGATAGTGGGGTTCAAAGACTCATGTGACAAATGCTGCAGAGGAAGCAGGACGGTGTCGTTTTCAGAGCAGGTCTGTCAAGTCAAGAAGCAAATGAGGGGGTTTGGGACCATAATCTTGCTTGTGGCATACACATCTCACTACTTATGGTCTGTATCTGTGCCTAACCTTCCTGTGGACTGTGCAGCACCCTGATTTCTGTCAGGCACCTCTTTGCAGTATATGGAACATAAATATGATTGTGAACATTAGTTCAAATTTGGTGATGTGTGAAAAGTGCACATTCTGGTTGGACTCCTAGTCCTGTGTTTGTGTAGTTTCAATGCTGTATGGCCTTTTTTATTACTGCAGCTAAACCAAATGATTGCTTTATCCAACTGTCATGCTTTGCTTCTTATTTCTAGAACAGATAGATAACATTTTTTGTTGTTACCTGCAGTGTGGGGAATAGTAGTATCATTATATCTGCCTTCCACAGAGATTAAGTAAAACCCTAGCTAACTTGTCTCTCTGAAATAAAACAAAACAAAGACCCAACCCTCCCTTCTCAATTATCTGCTACCTAGGTAACAAGAGACATGGCTTTTCCTTGTTCATTATAATGTACCATTGCTAATGAAGGAGAATACTAATATGTATGTTATGTTTGCTTTGCCAGACTTTTTGCCAGGCATGAATTTGAGCAAAAGTCTGAACTGTCCAGGTAGCTCAGGAAAGGGTATGAAGCACAAGTGATCAGACAGAAAAATCTTTGAAGAACCAGGAATAAAAATTATTGACAAATGACCACTTCAAAAAGTGTCTGTGAATTTAAAATATACAAGTACAGTTACAGTTATTTCTAAGTATCCATAAAATTATCTCAAGCAAACCCCTTTATACTAGAGGCCAAATGCCCTGACACAGAAAATAGTTGTGTCCCAGTCTGGATTGTTTGACAGTGGCACAACAGCTTGATGTGCTGCCTTGCCGAATCTGGCTGCATGACCCTTTCACCCCACAGGGAACAACTGCCAACAGCTCCTTGGCAGCTGTGGTTGGTGCCCGTTGTGCTAGAGCTGCATGGTTTTCTCAGGCCCTGGGAATGCAGCTGGGAGCTTCCAAAAGTCCTCAATGTCCTTGCCTTGCCTTCCTAGCTCTGGGACGCAGCTCAGGATCTTCTACTCTGTATCTCCAGGGTAATACCTTTATTTTCATTTAAACTGTGGATTTGAAAAAAACCCAGAAGTAATTGTTTAACTGTTCCTTAAGGATCATTGTAGTCCTCTGCATTTGGTCTGTGTTCTGCTCTTTCAGGGAGACAGGGGGAGGAATAAGAAAGATGTTGCAATTATTTCCAGTAAATGCTTTGCAGACAAATAGTCATTATGGTTTGCATTTGAAAGTTGACTTTGGAGACATGTTGGGGCTTGGACAGGAATCTAATGTGACAAATGGTGATGCATTATTCAAGAATACTAGTATATATCTGCAAAGATAGGTGGTAAAGACCTTAATGCTCAAACCTATGTCTCATTTTAAGAGATCCTTTATTTTTTAGATATACTTTTTTCAGTGCAGTTGCAGCTTTCAGCAGTGACAAGGTTGAATTTACTAATTCATATGTTCCACTTACACTTTGTAAAGAAGCTAAATCGCCCAATGAAAAAGCTTCCCATTTAGATTTTCTATTTAAATAGAGATAATAATAATAAGAAAGTGGGTTCCTCATCTGCAATTCTAGCTTTGATCTATCCAAGATTGTGTTTAGAATGAGGAAGAAAGAAAGAGTAATCACAAGGAAAAATTATAGCTATTGTTGAAACAAACATACTTTTTTATAAATCTGGTTTCTCTCATGTAGTTTCTTTCTTATACCTCATAATTGCTGAAATATTTTGCCTGCTTTATATTTTTGTCTCATTTCTTCTGTATCTGTCTCTCTGTGAAAAATAACAGGTGCTAGTTTTTCTTTAGTGTTTTGCATCATAGGTTTGTGTTATTGCTGAGTGGGCGACAGACATTGTGGCACACAAAGGGTTAATTCCAGCTGTAGACTTTTGTATTTCAGGAGTCAAAGAATGATTTATCCAGTGCCAGGAGCTGATATTTATCTCATATGTGGAAATGCATAACTCAAGCAGGTCCTAATGTCCCAGGGCATACAGGAAGTCAGGAATAAGAGAAAAACCTGCTTTAAAAAAAAACCAAAACACAAGAGACACATGCTGTCTGCAGGACCACTCTTAGGGATGCAACTGTATCACACACACAGGGATGTTGAGGAAAAAAAAACCCGCTTAAACTTGCAAGAAAGGGCTAGGATGTATAGCGTTCTATTGTCCAAGCCTATTTCCACACCCCTGTTGCATTTCCAAGCAGAAGCGGCTTAGCTTGGAAGTGGCTTTTAATTCACGGTGCCTAGATCCTGAATGTCTTCTATAAGAAAAGCTAGGAAGGAGCCAAAATTCAGATGAACAAGTAGGGCATCTTGTGAAATCCTTGTTTCCTGGAAGCAGTTTTATAATCAGTGGGCCTTTTTCAATGTTAGAAATGGTTCTTTATTCAGTCACACCCAGGCTGACGTGACATCAGCAGTTTTGCAGTATGATGTCTAATTGGGAGTATTGTCAATGGAAAGTTGAATAGTCGGCATCATAAATATTTTCTTTTATATCTGCCGACTTTCTATTATGTAGCTTTGGAGTAATTTCTTTTTGTGAAATTTAACTTACCAAAAGCCCCTTAGTGAGCTCAGGGTGCCAAGGTGATGTGACCCCAGCTTGTCAGCTGTCCCCAGGCAGAAGCTTCTTTACATTCAGACCAGTCTGCCTACAGAGACAGGGTTTCTTAAATACTTGTCAGTTCTTTGAATTAAATGTAGGACAGATCTACTGCAGAGTTAAACTAAATGTCTGACATATTAAAGAATAAATTGTTTAAAAGCACTATGTATGAAACTCCAATAAAAAAATGATGCAGAATGATTTATGTTTAAACACATACCAAGCTTAAACCTCTATCTGATGTGATGCTTAGGCTTTGTTGACTTCTGTACTTTGGGTGTACCTCACGATATCCAAAGTAAGCCTATAATTTGATCATATTGATTCAAAAATTATTGCAAGTGTTATTCTTAAAATATCAATTAGAAATGTATGACAATTACTTTAGAGTTCTGTAATGGTCCATAGAAGGTCACAACTACATCCCTGACCAATCAGAACTTCAAGGACATCTGAATAGAAATGCATGCTTCTATCCATCCTGAAAAATATAGGGTTTTACCACTGGGACTGGATGAAAATCTTACCTATTAGTAGCAGTATTCCTAAACAAAAATCAAAGAAAAAAAGGAGTAGAAACGTCTGTTTCAGTAGAAACCAGCTGATGTCTTAAACAAATATTAGTATTTTTCTTCATATGCACATCAAAATTCAGTGACAGACTTCACTCTAATCCTGTATTTGCTTCTGTGTGTGTCTTTACTATTCACTGGATTGAGTACCATTCACCTTCTCTCTACCATTACACTTCCATCCTATAGGTAGTTCTTATCAGTTGATTACCTTCTGTTTCTGATAATAGCATGCTCCCAGAATCCATCAGATATCTAGGAGTTAAGGTCAAGTTTCCTTTCCAGTTTCCTTTCCTTAACCCTGCTGTGCTGCTGAGCATGGGCTGAGATACAAAGCCCTTTTATTTTGCTTCATTTGATTTTGTAGGATTGAACTCTGAGAATTCCTCAGTAATGTGTTAGCAGACAAGCTCAGATATTGTTCTGCATTTTCTTGTTGCCCAACGGTTTTACTTAATTTCTCATATGCTTCTTTGCATCGCTATGAAACTCTCTTCTCTCATTATCTAGTAATTCAATGTGATCTATTGTCTTTCCCTTTTTCCTTTTTAATGATATCATTAAGGCAGCCCAAAAATCAGCTCATAAAGTATTTGTGTACTTCTACTTTGATTGTATGAACAACACAACTTTTTATCTAACAGCAGGAGTTTTTATTAAGGTCTCTAAAACAGTATAATTCTGACTTTTTCCTAAAATAAAATGTTCAAATATTGGCTTTTCTTTGATTCATCAGTTAAGATTCTTACTGAAATTATCTGAGATCAAGGCATATGGTTACATGCAGACATCTGTAGCAGCATCTAATACTTCTCTCCTCTTCCTAAGTTTGCTGCTTTTTCCCTGTCCAGGAAACTATAAATCAAACAGAACCTTCATTTTATTTTTTTTTTTTTTTGACATAGACTTCTATATCTCAGGAATCTGGTGTGAGGAGGGACACGTAACCTGATGGTACAACTCCTGCCATCACTCCTGAATGTGAGATCTGATCTCGGGACAATTCATTTACAATATAGTCCCTGTGAGTGGGAAGAAAGTACCTAGTGCTAAATTGAGCAAAGAGCATTTTCACTTTGTGCCTGAGACCTGGTGGAAAGAAAATGAGAGAAATTTGTGTGTGTCAAGATTTGGGTATCTCCTGCAAGAACCAAAGTAGTTTCAAATTTTTCAGTTTTGTTATTGCTTGAAATATGAACAAGGAGAGAGAAAGGACGTTTTACAAAAGAAGATTTCCAGTCAGGTTAAAGAGACAGGGCTCCCATCAAAAGCATTCTTGGTCAGGTTCAATATATAAGCTAGATCAGGGAACTAATGTTTCTTTGTTGGATGAAGAGGGGTATAGATTTTGTGTTGGCCTTCTGAATAATTTGAATTTCACAGATTAGTGTAGAAGAAACTCCTAAACTTGGGCCAGGATCTAAGCTTCAGTTTTTAACAAAACTGCTAACGGATACTAAACAAAATTTTTAGAATTTCTCTTTCTTAGACTCCTAAAGGAGAAATATGATCTTCTGTATAATTTTCAGATGGTAATGTTCATTTTTCAAAATAAATTTACATGCACATACACAGTAACAGAATTTGGTTTACCTTAATTCTGTGTATTTTTGTAAAGGCCCTGATTATCTCCAGTAAATATGACACCCATCTCCTTTGACCTTGCCTCTCTTAAAGAAAGCAACTCTATAACTTCCAGTACAGCTCCCTAGAGCTTTACTTGTTGTAAGATATTTGTGCATACGAAAACTTTATTCTGCTTTCCAGAATGAATGTTTTGCATATACAAGGGATGCAGAGACTGCCAAGCAGTCCTCTTTCTGGCCACTAGGCTGATGTTGTGGAAAATTGATTTCCAGTTGAATTCTCCCACTTCCTCTGCTCTTATATTTTGGTTTCAGAATGTCAGTCCATAATTGAAGTTGAACATAAATAGCAGCAAAGGAAGTAAGGCATGGAGGCGAGAGGGCAGGTGGTAGGAGCTAAAATGGAAACAGTGAAGGGCAGACAACCATACACATACAGTTATACAAACAGATGTCTGGGTATAGTCCACAGTCTCAGGATTTTGCTACATAAACTAAGAATAAAATTCAGATGTGAATGTTTTCCCCAGTTCTCTCTCCTTATATACCCAAACTGAGACTTCTTCATTTTATTTCAGCTGGAATAGTAACAGAAGTGAAAGCAACCCTGACTTTGCAATATTGATTAACTCTCTGCTTCAGGTGTTTAGCTGAGATTTTTTCTCTTACATCACAAACAAGTAGCATTAGAAATGTAGATGACCAAAAATATTTAACTGTTCCTTTAAAATGGAATTGCTTCAGCAGAAGAGAAAGAAGTACTTAAGAAAGACAATGGCTTTGCCTTAGTATCACATATCCTAGCAGCCTTTACTAGCCACCGAGCTATTGTGGGCAGCTGTTTTGTTCATATAAATGTGATTCCAAGAACATTTTGGTATTCATGAAAGAGTATTTTTAAAGTAATAAAGTTTTGACTAAAATCAGTTTATGAGCCTTAGTGAGGATAATCTGAAAGACAGTCTAAAGGTCTTAGGAGGATGATCAGAAAAGCACTGACTACTGAGCATCAAGTAATCAAAACTTGTCAGTGGAAAAGATTTGGTTTTGCAAGAAAAAAATCTTTGCAGTAGACTTGAAGAAGAAAAGGGATGAGCACAGATTGTAAGCTTTGGCTACAAAAGGTTAACATTTTGAGACATGGGCAGGCTTAAAAGGTGTTAGAATAGAATTAAGAGTAGGATCCCGATGGTGACTGTAAACTGTTCAATGAACCTTCACTTCTGCATCTTGTGCACTGGATAAATAAATTCTTCTCCTTATACTTTGCCACAGAGCCAGGTGCTTATATCTCCTGAGCCAGAAGATGAGAAGTGCAAATGCCAGCCCATGCAGTAGAAACTACATGGTCCCCTAGTAGAAGAACAGTTCCCTAGTAAGAAGAGCGTAAGATGGTTTCTGATTTCATGTGATGATGACATTTATGTAGAGGTATGCTGGCTCAAGGGCACATTTTCACTAATTTCATTTTCAAGCTCTTGCCTGCATACATAACTCTACAGCAGTGAAATTGCAAGCAATACAATAAAAAAGATTGCCAGGTTTTAAAATTATTATTCTTATTTAAACTGCTAATATTTTCATTTTTCTATATTGTTTTAAAAGTGTACTCGTCTTCAGTTTTATAAAATCTTGCTTAAAATCACAGATTTTTGTTTCCACAAATCAGACCTAGTAAATAGCTGATCTTGACATATTTGCATATTACCTTCATGCATTTAGACTATATAAAATATTACTATTTACATTTTTAACAGTGTTCCGTAATACTTAGATGAACTTTTCAGGTATGTGAGATTATTGCAAAAAAACCCAGAAGAGTACTAAAACAAATCCAAGCTGAAGAAGTTGCCAATTTTATAGGTTTCAAATAGCGTCTTATTTGGCGCTGAACTGTGACTAAGTATCAAAGTGGAGAAAAATCACCTAAATTTACCCTCCCCCTTAGTCAGCAGTAAGCTTCATAGGACCCTCCCCAAACCAAATAAGGCCAGGAAGAATGTGCTAAGCACTGAGTGTGCTAAGAATAAAGTTGAGCTGGGATGGATAAGGTTACTTTGAACTCTGTATTTCATGTTTTCTGACATACCCCCCAAAGAACTGCAATTACGCTAGCAAGGCTGCAGGAGCATTGAACAGTTCTTTGCCAGTTCTTTTTTTTTTGTTTTGTTTTGGTTTTTTTTCTGCCTTTCTGTGCATTCCTGTCCTGTTTATAGCTGGGATGTTTTTATTTGTAGTGTCTGTGGTTCTTAGGATATTAGAAAAAACATGCTGAAGATTCACCATAAGGCATGGCTATTTTTGTTAGAAGCTGATACTTTAAACTAAGTTTTAAGTGTTGCCTCTGGAAGTCCTTAGTTTGCTCCGAGAAGGCAAGAGTCTGAAGGGGAGACAGAAAGTTTGGAGGGGCACAAAGAAGAAGGAACAGAATTAGAAAAAGCAGTGGACCTTCCTCCTCCTCATTCTGCAGTTCCTGCAAGAGTCAGCAACAGTTATATAAGCTTCCACAGTAGATCTTGACCTTTTAAACAGAGTATCTCTTACCATCATCATCATGGCCGAGATTACAGCAGAAGGTACGGTAACTATTTTCAAGTATAATTAACCAAAAATTATGCATATTTTGACAGTGTAGATGATCAAACAAATACGATTTGTTGCTCTTAGTAAATAACTCACTCCAGGATCATTTCATTTTGTTTGTTGGATTGCTTCCTACTTACCTTTTCTGTTCTTTTTTCTTTTTTCATTCCTGTTGCCATTTACTGAAGCTAGATCTCCATACACCTCTAAAAATAGTGTTAGTCTCATTTGCAGAACAGCACTGCTTAATGTTAATGTTCCGTTAGAGTGATATAAGAAGGGGAATGTCTGAACGTCAGGTGATACTACCCCCAAGCCTTTGCTCAGGTAAAGCTGTGGTAGTCCTTTATAATTGAAGATTTGCCAGAGTCAAAATAGCTTAGTTTGGTGGCCCTGTTTTTTCCATAAAGAGCCCTGAGGGTGAACTCTACAGGATGTTACTGAAGGGTAAAAGATATCAGCTCTGCAATTCTTATGCGGGTAAATGTCTAAAGGAGTCAGTGAAAGTTGTGCTGAATTAGTACCCCAGAGCTAGGCCTGCAAGAATGAAAAGCAATTGTATTAACCAGGAAATACATATTCTAAAATATGAATATTTCATATACTTTAATATTTTCTGACCATTCATATTTACATAACATTTTAGACGCATAACAATATTTTATCAACCACAGTCAGACAGGGAATATATTTAAAATGCAGCCTTCTTTAAATTTAATACTGAATATTTTAGTTGAATTTTATTCCAAGTCTTTTTTTTTTGTCAGTGTTTACCAAATTTAATAATGACACTACAAAAAAAAAAAAAAGGCTTTTAAACAGTCTTCTGAAAGTTATTTTTTTTCTGCTTGTCAACGTTATAATGCGTTTCAGTGTAGGAAAGTTATACTTTTCATCTTCCATTTTTCATTGTTATTATTTGTAAGAGGATCTGCAGTAAGTACTATTAGAGAGTGAGCCAGTTGTCTTCTAAAGGACTGATATTAGGACTATATCAAATTGTATGACAGTCCTGGCCTGATGTCTGATTAGCCACAAGAAGGTGATACGAGTATGATTTTTGTAATCAGCAGCTGGATGGTTCTATAATTTGCTTCTGGCAGCAACTACTACCAGAACAGGTGGCTCAGCCTGACAGCCCTAACCAAAATGCTAGTACTTGATTATTTGGATATTCTTAACCTGGCTTGATGGAAACATTGGTTATTTTGTAGCTGCTAGGAGGGAAATCTGTGAATTTCTATTTATCTTCCAAAATGAGTGCATTAATACTATCAGCATCAGAGCAGCAGTACCTCTTTGCAAGGTTATTCAAGCAAAACAATCCCAAACTGGGAAGATTTTTAGTCCAAAATTAAGAGCAAAAATGAAATTTTCAATCAGTCTGGAAATGAATTTTCAGTCATTTAGAGTCTGAAAGTGTTTTTTATAGTGCTTTTATAGTGTTTTTACAGGTGTTCCTTAGCTTCAATATTGTGTGGTTTTCTCCTGTATTTTTTTAATGTGCAAAGCAATAGACCTCAGGTGATAAGGGACATCAGCTCCACAGTAATCTAACCTTCAGTATAACAGGTAAATAAGCCATATAATTAGTTTAGATTAGTTTGATTGTGGGATGGGGCGTAGTTGTTTTTTTTTCTTACATTTGGAATGGACTTTGTTAATTGTCTAATTTTTAAAATCTGGACCCACGAGATGGAAATTGTACAGAACACTATTGTACAGAACACTAAATTGGCAGAACACTGTGAATTCAACCAGGGCTAATGTTTTACTGCAGTTTATTTTCCTCTGGGGCTACTGCTGATATTGACAAGGCAGATTTAAACTTTAGCAACATATAGTTTGGACCAATTAAAATACCCCTTGCTTCACACAAGTCCTTTTTTATTTTATTTTCTTCTATGCTACATCCCAGTCCCTGATTTGTTGTGTCTTCATGACTTTATTAGGATTAAAGTACCTGCTCCTTGTGGTAGGTATTAACTGTATTTTAGCCACAGATCAGCTAAACTGCCTGGCTCCTTGCCTGTTGAGGTACTATGCTGACATGCCAGAGAGTACAGCACAACAGCGGTGCAGGTTTCAACACTGCCATTGCCAGTGTGGCTGCTGGTGTAGAGAGATGGTCCAGGTATCTTTTTCTAGCAGCCTATGTCAATGCCATGATCTATTCAGAGACAGATGTACAAGGCTGACGAGGTGCTCTGGAAAGGTCAGCATCCTGGTAATGACAATGAGACTAAGTAGCTTGAAAATATAGCCACCAAGCAATGACCCTGGCCTGCCTACTTGCTTTGCAAGCCACATGTGCTGCCTATTCATTTCCACAGCTACAATATTTAGTTGTGGACATACTGGTGAAGTGTACCTGGTGAGAGACAAAAGGAGACCTCTGAAGACAACAGTTTATAAATGTCCTTAGAAAATTGGCAGGACCTAGGTCTCCTGCCAGCAAATATTTAGGAGAAGATTCCAAAGCATTATCTTCAGCATCTTCATATTACATTTAATTGCAACCACAGAAATGTACTTATGTACTTATGTACTTAACGAAATGAAAGGTTTGGGTGACATTGTTTAGTGGGAGGTGTCCCTGCCCATGGCAATGGGGTTGGAACTAGATGATCTTAAGGTCCTTTCCAACCCTAACTATTCTATGATTGTGATTCTATGAAAGTCATTAAAACTGTATACAGAAAAAGTCTCAGTACAAAGTACTGTGTCTTTGCAACAGTCTCAGGATCTTTTCTTTTGTTATCATTATTATTATTATTAGTTGTTGTTGTTGTTGCTGCTGCTGTTGTTATTATTACATTTCAGCTGTTACTGAGTACTCTGTAATGGCCAGGGACTTTACTGTGATACACTTCAGACCTTGTCTAAAAGCCGTGAGCATCTGTAACTATGCTACTCTGCTGTGTTTGTGAATGAGGGGACTGGACTGGACTCAATGGCAGACGTGGTTAGAGCTGCCACCATCGAAATATGAATGCAAAAAGCCTGACACCTCTGAGAAATGGCTTCTACTAAAGTACAGCTTAATTTATATGTGCTCCAGCAGCAGCCATGTAGTTGGTCTGTACTAGTCCCATCTACTGCAGGTCGCAGTGCAAGGTTGATGGCTCTTCCCTGACTCTTTATGCTCCCTCGCAGGGAAGAATGAGCAGAGACTTAGCTCTGCCTGTTGCAATGCTCTGGAGACTGTGCACTGATCTAATCTGGGGAGGTGAGAAGAGGAGAAAGGCAAGGTTTCTACACCAGCTGTTTGTCTGCCACAATTTATTTCCCCAGCCGAGCAAGGGGGAAGCAGGAGTCAAACAGAAATGTGACAACAAGTCACAATTTGGTCCTTATTTTGCTGCTGCTGAGAGCTGTGCAACTACACGTTTCCTCTGCCTTGGAGCAGACTGCAAGGAGACAGGGTAGCCCTGAGGCCACACACAGCTTGTCAGTGACAAAATCAAAATTAGCTTCTAGGTTTCTGTGCTTTTTTTTCAGGATATTTGATAACTATGAAAAGTTTTAAGGTGTAAACCATTTCAAAAGGCAGATTTGACAAGATCTCTGTTTGAAGATTAATAGATGTGAAACTGATAATGTATGAGAAATAACGCACAAGAGCCAGAGAGTAAAATCATGATGACTTCATGAGTGCAACGGCCAGAAGCTAACAGCAGTCTCCAGTTGGAAAAAACTTTAGTGAAGTCACACTACAGGCAGGAGGGAGATAGCTGCTTCTCATGGTAATTCATGAGCTGCTGCTTAAGGTGCTACATGTGCTGACTCAAAAAGGAGCCTAGATGAATAAATTAGATTAGATGATTCATTTTGATAGCTAAAGGCATGTGAGCAGGTTTCTAGCCTTCCATTAGACTGCTACATAGCACTGAGGTAGGAGGCTTCTATAGAATTTATTTGCAACAAGAAAATTTGCAAAATGAAAAGATGTCTTTTTTCTGGCTTTCAGTGTTGATGAAGAAGCAGATGGAATACCTTATGCAGTGGGGTAGGGAAAAGACAATTTTGCCACTGACTTTTTGAAGGAGTCAGTCCCATGTAAAGTTAACAGCCTAATTACCTAGAGAGACAAAATGTCAGAAAACCCAGGACTGCCTGTAAAAAAGTAAGTCCCTGGGGGCAACAAATGCTCCAAATTCTCACTGAAATTCCTTAAAACTTGGATTCCTCTGTGCCTGTGGGCCTGGACAACTGAGTTGGTTAGTTTGGCTGCAGTCTGGCTGCTTTCTCATAGTGTATTGAGTGTGAGGCCAAAATTGTTAGCTGAAGCTTTATGTTTAGGAATTTGTGGGCAATGTTACTCACAGCTGGTATGGCATCTATATGTTCAGTTGGTGCAGAGAAACTCTAATATATCATTAGTTTAGGTAGTCCCTAAGAAGATTGGCTAGGTATGGACAGCAGGAAGCCTTAAAACCTGTAAATCAGAGATTTAAGCTAATAAATTGTGTTGCTAGTCCATGACAGGCTAAAAGTATGTGGGTGCAGTTATTCATGCTTATGTGTATGCAAAGAGCTGGACCATAGGTTTGATTATTTATTCACTTTTTTTAAAAGAAGTTTGTGCCCATAAGTATCTGAAACATATTTGAAGGTTACTTACATAATGAGTAGCATATTCAAGTTACTGGGGTGATCAGTAACCACTGATTTAGGAATTAAATCTATGCAGCTACTTAAGATTCTCAAAAGTCCCAGTCGTTGCGTTCAGGTACCTAATACTTGAAAAGCATCTAATCTATAAACATTTGGAGTGTGTTGACCCATTGCCTACAATGTAAACACTGAGTAAGAGATGGATTCATGCTGCTCTTACTGTTCTGCCCTGGGAAGCAGAAACTGGCTTAGTTTAAAACATGTTTCATAATACAGGTTTGGCTTAAGTCCAGGACACAGTGATGACAGAGAAAACAGAGCTAACATCTGAGTCAGGTCAGCTGTTTACAGAAATGGAGAAGCTCTCTTTTTCTTT